ATGATCGGCTATTGCAATATAGCCCTAAAATTAAGTGATGATGAAACTGTTTTCTATGAATAAGGTAACAGAAAAGTTGAAAAATGTTTCTTAATGATAGATTTGACAGTTAAGTAGATGATAATTCATTCTACAACATTTCTTCTTCTCACAGCTTTCAATATGAACAAAAGATGAGAGTTGACAGGGAACGTTCGAAAAAATTCAGAGATGCTGATTTTATCTGCATCTGCATCATCTAACGGTAAAATTAATATTTGCTTATGATCGTTAACTGAAAACGCCTATGAATGTTATCTGACATCGAATTGAACACAGTCACATTTCCAATACTCTACGTCATTGTCACTAAAGAAATGAAGAGTACAGTGTAATTGCAAAATGTGTCACAAATCGGAGCATAATACAACAATGATGAATTCATTTCGAGAACCGTTTTGAAGTCGATTGCAGTGAACGAATTGCTCTTGAACGGTGGATTCCCGATCAGCTCGAAGTGCGACTGTGCAGGGCTGCTGCGGTGCACATAGAGAGTACTCGGCAGTTGTTCGTAAACACCATTCGGCGACTTGCGACGACAGTCGTCGCACACCGGTGGATATAATATCAGTTTTCGTATATGAAATTCATTCGATATCACATCAGCAAAAATCACATCTAGCACGTAGTCTTTGAAAACGGAATCAGTTTTTTTTTCAATTTCATTTCGTAGATCGCAATCGATAAACATTGTTGCACTGGCACATTTTTCATTGGGCTGAATATTCTGATGGAGGTTTTTGAAATTTCGTTTTGCAACATTTCATGAAAACTTTATGGATGCTTCTTCAGAAACACAATAAAACATGAATGAGTGAAGTGAATATCTTACCGAATCAGCACCAAATAATGCATTGAGTATAACACCAAGAAGAATTAAGAATAGTAACAAAAGAAAGAGCACGAGTAAAAGAAGACACAACAATCGCGGTGTACATCGTGTATTTCTGCAATCGAACAGTTTTTAGATCTTTGGAAGATTTTTTCAAAAACTTTCAGGTTTATTAGTTTATCAAAATTCAACGCCAATAAATAATAAAAACAAAACAATTTGAACTC